AGTCCTTTTGGCAAAATCTGGGGATGTTTGCTGGGAATGTGTGACTGTAGAGTAGCAGATTCTCAAATTTAATATCCCCTTCCAGTTTAATGTCCATCATTTCCTGCAGAATTAACCCAACTGAGTATTTTATGGTTTTTTACTGTTGGTTGGCAGACCTGCAAAATATTATGACGTCTTTCACTGGACTGCACGAGGACGGCAACATGCAACACACACACACACACACACACACACGCACACACACACACACACACACACACATTGCAGCAGAGAGATAGAGAGATGAGTGTAAGGGGGGAATAAGGCATCACTTGCACAGGTAAGCAAAAAAGAAGAAGAAAAAAAAAAACGTGAGAAAAAAGGCGCTAAGTCACTAAAGCACCAGAGTGGAGGGCAGAAGAGGAGAAGATAATAAAATAAAATGATAAAAGAGCTGAAGAGAAGGGAAGATGAGAGGTAGAAGAGAGTTTAAACCCAAGGATAAGAGGAGAAGATGTGATAAAAGCGAGGAGTGTTCCATGAGAGCAGCAGAGGAGATAAAAAGAGCGGAGAGGTGGGAAGAAAAAGCCAGAGTGGATTTGGGTTAAGTGCTATCTCAGTGAACAGAGTAGTTCTTGTACAAACGAGACGCCGGCCACATTGAACGACGACGTCGGCTGCAGAGTGCTGAACTGGCATTAAACACGTGCACACACATACGTGCGCTCTTCCCCCGTCTCCCCCATGTATAGCACAGTAGCTATCTTCTGGTGACAGAGCAAGCCAACAGTTGTCGTCCATAAATCCAGAGTATTAGTGAAGCTACTGTAGCCTGAATGCTCACAATGGAGTCGGTACAAGGCTTATCTGGAGGAAGGAGGACCAGGAAACCATGGACTTAGAAAAAGGAAGAAAAAAATGAAGGGAAAGAAGTGCAGCATAGACGACAGAGGAAAAGGGAGGAAGGATCAAAGTGTGGTTGACAGAGTGGAGGGGAAACGTGGACAAAAGAAGATGGGATGAGAGGAAGATGGGGGGAATCAGAAAGAAGCCGAGGGGATCGAGAGGTGAGGAAAGAGGCAATTGGCAATGAAAAGAGATATTGAGAAAAGCCAGAAAGCTCAGAGAAGACAAAGGAAAGACATGAGGCGAAACAGACAGACAAACGAGAGTTGAATGGAGAGATTGTTAAGCAAGGAAGAAAGAAGGGAACATGAGATGAAGAAGGCGAGGCGAAGCTCGGAGTGAGAGTTGAAACAGAGTCGAGGACCGAGGGGAGGGATGGAGAGAGGAGATGAAGTGAACCAGAGGACTGGACGGCGAGCGTTTACTCATCTACCAGGAATCCCTGCTAGCTTTCACTGCTCCTAATCCTGGGAAGACTAGTCTCTTCTCATACTGGGGCGTCAAGCTGTGCTTGTATCGCTGTAACCTACATAATTCCAGTTCATACTGGGGCTCCAGTTAAAAGACTTCTGTAGCTCTCGCTCCCCACAGAGCGAGGAGATTACTCAAGTTCAGACTTGAAATTAGACCGTTGGAATTAAGGTTCAGCTAGACGAGGAGAGAACATGTTAAATATCGTTTTTGAAAGGATTTGTGTAATTTTCACACTGGGGGTTTGTAATTTTTTTTTTTTCTTCACTGGGGCCCGCGGTGACTCAGACTATTTACTGGAGCAAAATTTCGTTGCTATGCAGTAGTCGCAGCAGTTCTGCCAAATCTTTGAAATTGCATTTACTGCCTGGCAAGAAGTTCATGCAAGTAGCTGTTGGGGGCTCGCCGGTTCCAGTCGTGTAACTCTTTCAGCTAAATTGCCTAAATCTTCATAATTCACTGTTCTCTTATAGGTGGGTTTGCTCTGAGGGTGGGTCAAGCCTTTCAGCCGGGGCATGTGAAGTGTGTCCACTACTTCCTATTTATTGTGAGGCACAGAGAGGTGATGTTCAACGTGTTTCACTAAAGCGTCTTGGCCCTGTGATTCACAGAGAGGGACGGCGGAGTGAATGATATTTATGGCTGTACGGTGGTAAACAAGAACAGACGTGTCGGTTTGTGAAGGGTAATTTATATCAGAGACCCTCGTGTTCCGTCGGCAGTCTCTGCTATTATGTCCATATTCATTAATCATAGTTGCTGTCTCTGGAATTGCCTTCAACTTATAGAACTTGACATTCATTCACTGCATAACAGAGGGTTATCGGTGGCTCATTCAGCTTTTGCACAAGTTTTTTTTTTTTTATGATTCAGTGTGAGTGTGTTCATTGACATGCAAAGCAAAGATCAAGGTATTCAAGGCAATTTTCCCCCAGTTATTAGTACCCCTGTCTGCCAACTCAATTCACCTACTATCAAGCACACTAAATGATACCAAAGTAATAATCTAGCCAGCTCTATCACACACTTAAATTATTCATAGACTCTTATTGTGTGGTGTAATTATACCGTTTCATTCCTATGCATTCTGAGTATTAGATAGGTGGCACGGTGTGATTACTTAAGAAAAGCAGCGAGCAAAATGTCGTGCTGCAAGTTTGTGTCTCTGCAAAGCGATCAAACGGCGTTAGAGGATCTGCTGATGAAAAGTTCAAGAAGTTGTCCTTGTTTGACAACATGAGACTGGATTCTGTTTTTTTTTTTGGCTTCTTTAAGAGTTGGAACTTTAACTTATGAGGTAATACCATGACTAAAATTTTACAAATGTTTGGAAGGAATTAGTTTTTGGAAAATATGAACTTTCTAACCTCTGCTTATAATTGATTTTTGACAATAAAAAGTATGAAATCTTTTAATTTAGTTTGATCTCCCAGATTCTCAACATACTAGTAAAATTAGACTAAATCAACAACTTATTGCATTTTTTTTTTGACTTGACCATTTAAATGAGCATTTTTTTGGGGGGGTAATTAACTAAAAAATCACAACGAGTGAGTCGAAGGTCATTTAAAACATAATAATTAGCCAAAATTAGCCCCTTTCTTTATATAATCATGAATTCAGAAAATGAAACGTCCTCTGGTTTTGGCCTTATTTGGGATTTTCCACTGAGAAAGATGGATGTTTGTTCTCAATTGCAGGTAAAAATCCTGAAAAGTGTAAAAAATCTGCATCAAGTCAGTTCTGTCCAAGAGATTATAAACATACGACCATATTTATTTTACAAAAACCAGACCAAATCAACAACTTATTGCATTATTTATTTATTTTTTTGACTTGACCGCTTAAATCAGCAGTTTTTGGGGGTAACTAACTAAAAAAAGTCACAATGAGGTCGTCGATGGTCGTTTAAAACGTGGTCATTAACCAAACCGAGTCCCTCATTTCTAACTTTCCACATGTAATAATATGTTCGGAGGATAAAGTGTCTTCTGGTGATGGCCTTTTTTTTGGATTTTCCATTGAGAAAGATGGATGTCTGTTCTCATCTGCGAGTGAAAATCCTGAACAGTGCACCTCAGGTTTGTCAACATCATATCACCTCCTGTGTATCTGTCTGTCTGTCCTCCTCCGTCATGCCTAATGCACAGTCTTTATATGTCAGCACTCACTGCTGTAACTGACGTCTGTAGACTGAGGGATTATTTGCAGTTCAAGTGTGAGGTCCTTGAGACGTTATTACTGCTTAAAGGGATTCTTTGACGTTTAACAAGTTATTTCTCTGACGGATCTGCTGCTGATTCCAATTGGGGGAAATTAGTCAAAACACGTCAACGTTTTACTGACTCAAAACCTCCACATGGGTGCCAAAATTTTCACGACCCCATCAGTGACAGATTTGTCACATTTTTACATGGATTTGAGTCAAAAATTCTATTTTTAAGAGCGCAGATTGAGCTCCGGTTGATTGCAGCAAAACTGTAATTCAATCAGTTTGCTCTTTACTAGCAAGAAAAATCATTAAAACTGTTTATATCAAGTTTTACTGAAAGCTTACTGTATGAAATGAATTATACAATTACAGAATCATTTGTTTTGAGTGCTGACAGGTAAAGTTTCTCTGCATTAGTAGTGTCATTACATTCATGGATGATAGTTTGGTCATTTATAGAAATTAATGAAAAAGTGCTGCCTTCTCTGTGTGCAAACTAACATAGAAGAATTTAGAGAAAATGATGAAACGGTGATATGTGTCGCAGACATCACGGTCATGTCAACGACTTTTGTTTTCATCTGAGGTGAATTAGTAGTATTCCAAAAATACTACATGATGGTTTCCTCTGTTCTCGCTTCTCCACGTTTCTGCTCTCCAGGCTTCTCTTTAGCCGTCTGTGTGTGTGTAGATGAAAAACAGTCAAATTCTCTCCTGCGTCTTCACCACACTTTGATTTTACAAAATGAGCTGTCTGTGTTTGTAAGAAACCACAGTCTGCACAAACACAGACTCGTGCAGAGAACGGCTGCTGTCACCCTTTTTTTTACCAGGCTGCTGCAGATGTGTTTTCATTGACACTGGTCTGTAAAGCAGAGTGAGCTACTGGACACCAATCATTCCTCCTGTTACATACGCTGTAGATCACCAGCACACAGATGCACCTACACCATTGGCACAGGCACAAACATTTCCTTTTTTATATATATCTCCGCTGGTAAATGTGTTATTTTTACTCCCTTGGACTGTATCCTGTAAAGAGAATTTGACTGGACTAGTTTCCTCTGAATCGGGGCCTTTTTAAAACCCGTTTCATGCTGTTTTGAGCAAACTGAAGCTGAGCTCCACACCGTGCCAACCTGCTTTATGTACTGCTCTCATGGTTGCGGGAACTTCAAAATTGAAATTCACTCAAGCCTCTCTCCGTCCTTCTGTCCAACCACTCGTTTATTTCCACTTTGATTTTGCAAGCTTTGTGTGGCACGCTTTGTGGTTTCATTCTGTGCAACTCCTGACTTTTTATCTCACTAACACATGTTGGTTGACGGCTGGAGACTTTTTAATGAGCGTCATTGTTTTACATCAACATATTATTCACTTCCACTGGTCCTCTAGCTTTTTGTGATTTAACTGTGAAATTATTCTTCAGTTCCAGCTCCGAGGAGGCTCCGTTTCAAAGTGCTGAGCTCAAGCAAACTCCTGGTTTCGTGGAAGGAGCCCAAAGGAGACTTTGACAGCTATCTGTTTCTCTACAACAGCATACCAGGTAGGACGCTCCAGCTGTTTGGACACATGCACTAAACACGCACACACACGAGAGAGGTGAAACTTAACTTTGAAAATTTTGGAGTAAGGATCCCATTATGAGTTTGCTTTTTCTGTCTGTCAGGAGGGATTATGTAATTTACTTCTTATCAAAGCTTCTTTGAAGGGATTACACTCTTGAGAGATGTGCAGGACTCAGAGTTTGTCCTGCACCTCTGCCAAGTTTGAGACAAGGGAGTGTTTTTGCTGCGTATGAGGAGCCCGTCAGCAGATTTTAGAAGCGATAGGTACACAGGACAGTAGGACTAAGTCATGATGGAGTTCAGTCCAGGACAGCTGAATGACAGCGGCGGCCATTGTAGCGATTCATTAAGCATTAAACTGCATTATCGCTGAACGGAGGTATGGGCATGATGGACGCCTGATGTCCTCCGTTATCCTGCAGCTCTCACCAGTGGATCAGTGCACATGCACAGAGCGGGACCTCGTCTCTTCAGAACAGGCTCAACATTAGCAATAATCACCTTAATTACCCCTGAACATCTCCTCTGTCATGTAATTGCACTGCACCTACATTCGAATCCTTCACATGAATTCCTTCGCCTGCGTTTGTTGTTATTAATGCCGTGCTGAACGCTGCAGACGATTCTTTCACAGCCGACGTAAAAATGAATAAGTAGCACTGAATAAGCACTTTGCAACATAAAACTTCTTTCTCGCAAACAAATGCTTTGTGGGAGACGCCTCGTCTGACAATTTTCTCGCTGCCTCCGACAGCTAAAAAGGAGCAGGAAAACTCAAATTTATGGCCACTTCATCCTCAGGGAGGAGGGCAGCAGTAAAAACTTTAAACGGTGTCCTTGCTGCGTCCAAACAACATGTAGTTAATATGATGGAAAAAAAAACAAACAAAACGATGACACAAGAACCTGATGTCCACTTTCTTCTATACCTTTGTGAGTCAGATAAGGTGAACAACAGCTTGTTAAGAGCGGCTGAAGTCCTTTTTTGTTAGAATAAAACATCTTTTTCGATCACAAAGGGGGGCTGTCAGAGCGGCGGCTAACCTTTTGACTCAGCATAATGTCCTTTTTCTCCTCAGAGTTTTTCCAAAAAGAGCAAAAAGTGCAACTGGATAAATATTCAGGTTGTAGGTGGAAGCAGATGACTCACTTTTGCCAACAAAAGCAACTCGCTGGGTTTTTTTACTTAATGCGTATTTTCTTTAAAACATTGCACCCCGTCACTTTTCCCCATTATCAGCTTGTGTTCCTATGGATGACGTAACTTGGGTCTTACTGCATCAAAAAGTGCATTGATCTCAGCCTGTGTCTCTCTGACTGGTGACTTTATTCTCTGTTTTGTGACAGCGCATAAATTGAACTCAAATGAGCGCTCACAGGATGTCTGTCCAATAGCCTGCCAATGATTTTAAAATTAAAATGGTATGGCTGCATCTGTGCGTACATAATAATCATGTGTTGGTTATTAGTGCCACATGTCTGTATTTATTCTTTTAACTCTCAGTGCAGATGAAGCCAAAACCAGCTGAGAAAAAGTTTCAGTGCAGCTGAACATATTGAGGAATAATCCAGTATCAGTCCTGATCTCTGAGCTTCACAATAAATTGTGTTGTAGTGTCTACAGCAGCGATATAGGAGAGGAGTCTATTTACTGCTGCACTTAAAACAGTATAGTTAAAGTACAAGTAGCGATCAATAAATTCTGAGACGACACCTATAAAAAGCAAAAACCAAACCTGATTTAACTTTGGCCGTCATTTCTTTGAACGTAGTGTCCTTTTACAGTGATGCATGGATCCCCGCGCTCCTTCCATGATTCTCTTTTCAAGCCCCGTTCTGTCAAAGCTTTAAGCATCATTTGCAGCACACACTGGATCTCCTCCACTGTGTCGAGATGCTTAACCTTCAACTGGAGTCACATTTTGGGGAAGAAAAAGAAGTCCCAAGGAGTCAAATCTAGCGAGTAGCGTCGGTGAAGAGTGACGATTGCATTGGAACAGCAACAATACTTGTGTGTCATCAAACCACTGTGAGCTGGCACGTGCAACGTTCAGGTCATTTCCTCTGAATGTTCTTCCTGCAGGACGTTGAGGTAGAACTCGGCTTTGACAGATTGCTCCTGAGGGACAAGTTCACGGCGCTCAACCCTGTGAATGTCAAACAAAATGACTCGCATGCTCTCAGACATGCAACTGACCTGATGCTTCCTGAGTCTTCAGGCCTTCACTGTACAACTTGGTCTCTGGGTCGTAGGTGTACGGACAGAATTTCATTGAAGGGAAGTGGAAGGAGTTGCAAGGATCCAAATATGGAGAAGAGCCACAAATGTTTTGGTGTAGCTACAAAAAAAGACAAATTTTATGATGGGACACTCGATTGCCATGACGCCACAGTTCTGGTTGTTTGCCCTGAAGGTTCTCCTCAGAAACCTTCATAATGTCACAGAAGAACTTGGACAGTCTGACTCTGGGAGATGCATTCATGGTGCAGAATCCCGTGAATGTTGAGGAAAACCAAGCATGCTCTTCTTGGTGCCTTCTTCTGTGAGTGCTGCAGCTGCAAACTCAACTCTCATCACCAGTGATTATGCTCAACATGAAGCTTGGTTCATCTCGGGTCTGTTGATGGAGATTCTCACAGGGTTTGACACGGTGCTGCTTCTGCTGGTCCAGGGTGAAATGCACATCTACAAGTTGTCACAGAAATATCGGGTGATGTTGCTCATGCAGCGTCACAAACAGAATCTGAACTTTTTGTGGTGCTGTTTTGTGCAATACGTACAAGACTAATAACGGTTAGACGTTTTCATCACCTCCATTGTTGTTTTGGTCAACTTTTCAATCACAGCAACGAAAAAAAAAAAAAAAACTTGAACCAAACAAAAACCTCATGAACAAATAGTCGGGAGCAAACAGAAACCCAGGAGAAGTCTAAACTATACTTAAAAACTCCAAATTTAAAGAAAATCCTAAAGTAAAACACAAACCTTACAAACAGGAGGGTTAACGGTTGACACCACAGGAAATGGCAAAGAAAGGGAAAGATAAAAATATTATTACAGGGAACTAAATGGGAAGATAAGACACAGGTGAAACTAATCAGGGCAATCAAAAGGGAGGACAAGGAGCAGAAGTAAAAATGCCAGCGACACATGAGGAAAGGCACTTTCAAAATAAAACAGGAAGTAACTGAAAAAGGACATGAACCCTATAAAAAACACAAAAACACAAAAAAACGAAACAAAACTAGCAACCAAAGCCTAATTTAGCTGTGAGTTATGGACGGATCCATAAAAGGCTCAAATGGTTTAAGAAAAGAAACAAAAACAACAAAAAACAATATGTGGATAACATCAGCAGCGCTGGAACTTCAGATAACAAAGTACTTAAAGAGGATTCCCTGGACAGATTCATCTCATCGCTGTGTGGCCTCATGCAGTCAAAACGCTCGAGGAAGCAGCTGTGTTCTTTGACAGACGTTGGACGGTAAACGAGACACATATTTCCAAAACCAAGCCGTTTGTGCTCATTCATAAAGTCTGCCTCTGTGTTTTTTTTTAAAGTTTTCAGTGTACTGTTTTTAGAGAAGCTAAATCTCACCAGGTAGGTTTTCCAATGTGACGTATTGTGCATTTAAACTGTGACCTGCAGATGTAGTGGAGTTGTTCCACACTCCAGAATAAGCTTCACATTCTGAAGTGATTCATGAAAGAAAAGCTGATGACATGTAATTAAAGTTTGACCTGAAAGAAGAAAGCAGGCAGAGAGTGAGGAGTGAGACATCAAACATGATATTTGGTGGAGTTCTGAGATAACTTCAGAAAGACAGAGCAGTGGATTCTGGGTATGAGGTGTTGAGGAGCTTTTAAAAATCATTATTCTTTCTCTCGCTCTGTTCTATTTGTTGTATAATTGATCAGAACAGTGAAGCCACAACATGTTCGTATGTGTGTTATAAATTATGGGCTTTGTCTACTTTTGACTCGTCTTTTTTTTAATCAAGTGTTTGTTCTGTTGCCTTAAAGGCTTTTTGTCAGCTACGATAAAGAACAAGAACATGGCAGCGTGTGTTTTCTGATGATTGAACCGGGCCTGTTTTGCATTTATGATAAGGCGCTCATGCTAAGCAGAATGCCACGAAACTCCAGCCAACATTTTTACATTTATCCTTTAGGTTAAAATGAATGTGACAAAAAAAATTAAAGTAAAGCATCGACTATTTGACAAACTCGTCAAAAAAAATCTGCTGGTTTACACCTAATGTGGAGTGATGATGATGATGATGATGATGATGATGCTAATGATTTTAAGACATCTTCTCCAGCCGATGGTCTTTGCTGCTCGTGTGCCAGCTGTCGGATGTCACGGAAACAAATCACATTTATGTAGTTGGAACTGCAGTTTTTGTAAGGCACATTTGCAAGGCTTTCAACTAATTTAAAGGATTCGTTCAACATTTTGGAGAAATGCACTTATTCACTTTGCTGTGCAGAGTTAAATGAGAAGATCAATACCACTTGTGCGCTGGAGCCAGACCCTGGAGTTGCATAAAAAAGAAAGTTGAAGCAGGGAGAAGCTGCTCGCCTGACTCTGCAAAGCATTCACCTCCAAGACTCGCTGGTAAACATGATGGATTTCATTTGTTTAATACATATACAAACAGAAAAGTGGCTGCAAGTGTAGGCAGCTCGTGGAGATGCCGTGAACGCTGAGAATCCACAACTTTAAAACCACCTTCCTAATATTGTGTAACTGCTCCTGATGCCATTACAACAGCTCAGACCGGACGGCAGACTTCTGCAGGTGCTCTGTGGTGACTGATTCTGTTGTTGCGAGGTGGGCCCTCTGTGGTTTCGCCTCATTGTATCACATCCGGCAGATGCTTGATTTGATTGGTGTCTGAGCAGTTTGGAGACCCGTTTCTTTAAGTTGTTCCTGAACAGTTTCTGTGGTCTGATTAGGTGCATTATCCTGCTGGAGGAGGCTGCTTCTGTTTTTGTGGTTGAAGTAACATGTACATGAATGTCAGGCCCATAGACTTAATAAAAGATGGACGTAGCTTCCGTGACGTCACCCATTGGTTTCCGCACTGAGAAAATGAAGCCAGGGTTTTGCTACTTCCTGGTTGACATCTTGGATTTTTGGAGCCAGTGACACAAAAATCGTGGGAGGGGGGCGGAGCCATAGGAGCAGCGATTGGTCAGACGGATTGAGAGGCGGGCCCTCTCTGCCCGCCCACATTTACCGCCTTCTGCTCGCTTCGTCTGTATGGTCGCTGCCGACTGTCAATCAAGCCAGCCACGCCCCTTGCCCCGCAAAATGTTGATGATTTTATAAAAATTCAGTATTGATTTATTTTCAGATTGGCCACCTGATCTCTGGATTTGACCATGAAAACTAATAAGAACAAAATCCTGAGCTGGAGGAATGCAGTATTTTGTGATCTGTGATCACTTCTTTTCCAATTCCAGTCTATAGGAGCCAGGGCTGTTTGGAGCCAGGACTAGCGGACGTAGTGATACTGCAGGTTGTTGACACTTCCGGGTTGGCTTCATTTTTCAGGGCCGGTTGCTACGTCCATCTTTTATACAGTCTCTGGTCAGGACCAAAGGTTGCAGAACATTGCATTGATGTGATCAAAGCTCTACTTCACCTGTCAGCGATTTTTAATGTGGCTGACTGGCTTATGTGGAAGATAAATATCAGGAATATTGCTTGCCAAGACAAAGCTACAACTTGTAGCGCCTTCTAAGTTGAGAAATAGTCATCTGTGTTTGAGCAACTACTATGCAAATACGATACAACATATTAATCCCTTTTTTGAAAAAGTTGGTTGGTCTATTTTTGTCTTTTACAGAAATTCAGACGAGCTGTTTCTGCTTATTTATGCTAAGCTAAGCTAATTGCTTGTCAAGTGTGGCCTGATTTTTAGCATAGAGCCATGACGTTAGGCGGTTCTTTAACATTTTCGGTGCAAAATTTTAAAGCTGATTCATGCATCCAAAAAAAAAAGAAGACCAGTTCTGTCCTATTAAAAGTAAGTGTTGATAATTGTCAACTAGGCTTATTATTGGATCTGGTATTCAACACTTTTCCTGATTATTAAATTTATTTCAAAATGGGCTACTTCAGCTCTGATAAGCCACCTTGAGCAGACATCACCATCTCATTGGTAACTCTTCGTGTGGAAGAGCCAATCAAGACTGAATGATCAGTGTCGAAAATGTATTCTTTAAATAAACATATATATATATATTTTTAAAAAAAACAGCTGAGTTTTACATTAATATTTTTAGAAATTTGGACTCCAGGATTTTAATTTTTTGCTGCAAACATATATCAGTTCCAGATATCAGCTATTGGCCGTATTACTAATAATAATAAACACATATTAGGTGATCCCTCAATAAATCTGTGATCCCTTGCTGCTGTTGTCTAATAAATTGGTTTAAAGGAGATCTACTTTATGTAAACACGGAGGAAAACCCTGAGAAAACCGAGACGTGAACTCTCAGTGCCTGCAACAGTTGTCATATAGCGTCCGAGCGTCTGCCTTCCCTCCAGCTCGATGCTTGGCTGATTGATAGCGGTTCGGTTCGCCTTACAGTTTGCAGATCTGATCAATGCCGTTACCTCACCTGATCTGCAGTCCCCTTCAGCGGGATTTATCCGCCTTCTCCCACAGGTGTCATTAGTCATCACCCTGCAAGGACAGAGGAGCTGAGAGACTTCGCACAAACACACACACACCTTATTGATGGTCGGATTGATTGCGGGGTCAGAATTAAAAAGGGGTGATAATGTGACCTATTAGCCTAATGGCGATTAACGGCTCAGCAGGGAGCACGAGAACACAGGCACAGAGTTTGTTTTAGGGGCAACGGAAAATATCCAAAACTAACTCTAACCTTTATTCTTTGTCCAAGAGTCGCCTACAAGCCGCAACGTCTAAACAGACTTCACGTAGCAGCGACAAAACATCTTGCATTTGCTTGTTTATGTGGCAATATACCGTATGCGCCTCACAAACACAAGTACAAGAGTATCACACACAAACAAATCCTCTACAAAGTATTTCAACCTTGAACGTAACGTTTGCTGCCTTCAGACCGGAGAATGTTAATCAGCTCTTCTGCTGAATTAACTTCATATTGGCTCAGTTGTGAGAATACTAATATTTTGCTTCCAAGCAACAGGATGTGGCAACGAGAAATGAACAGCATGGAAGAAAATATCCACCAGTTTAACCTTTGCCCCTCTTCTTCTTCTTCTCCTCTCTGTCAGGTGGTCAGCAGAGGGAGATCATAATATCCAAGTCTGACACCAAGGTGTTGATAACAGACTACAGTCCGTCTAAAGAATATACTTTCAGTGTCATCGCTGTCAGCGGCAGCGAGCAGAGCCGACCACTACAGGGCAGATATAAAGGTTGGTTCATGCATTTTATTTTTGGCGTCTGTTCTGTTGTACTCTGGCTGCTCTTCTACTCTGTTGAACACTGTTACGTGCTACACTACTGTATGTTTCTCCTCGTGTTTGCTCTCCTTTCTACTCAGCTCTTCTGTCATGTTTACTTCTCATTTCTTCTTTTACTTCTCCTTTTATTTTCTCGTCCTCTCTCCTTCTCTGCTTTTTTCTTGATGCCTTTCTTCTGGTTTCCTCTCCTCTCCGAACCTGTTTCCTCCAATCTCCTCTCTTCGCTTCTCCTCCTTCCCTTCATTTTTGTTTTCTTCACCTGTCCTCTCCTCACCACAGCAATATTGTGCACAACTTTGTTCTGGTGTGTTGCTCTCTGCAACAACTATCTACAGTTAAGCCCGATCTCTGCTATTTTTAGCTTCATAGTGAATCTTTCATTTGACCGGTAGGTTTCTTTTGACTGAAAATGACATAAGCAAGTGATAAGAATTTGTGTTATAGTGAATCATAAATGTAAATTATTTGTACTAAAAATGCCATGTCCAAAATCATTCACACCCTTAAAATCTTTAGAAAAATTTGAGGAAATGCAGCTTCTGTACCATTTTAGTTGCTTTTAGTAATTTCTACCATGTTCTAAAGAATTGACCAGCTGGTAGTTCACCAGCCAATCACCAGTCAATTGGAAGCTGAAACTTAAAAGCTCAGTTAGCTGCTAGCAGGGTCCATCACTAAGAAAGAGCTGCACATTGTGGCTGCTCATAAGAAAGGCAGGGCAAAGGCTATAAAGTCATATTCAATTATTTTCAAGTGTCAGAAACCACATTGCAAAGCAAATTCAAAAAAGTACAAAGAGTTCCACACTGAAGCCAAGCACAACCCAAAGACCACCAAGACCATCCTGATGAATCCGAGCACTTCTTGTATGTATATCTCAGAGCAGACACTGAACAAGGCTGGTCTCCATAGAGGCTGACTAAGGAGGACTCCAATCCTCCAACACCAGCACATACAGTTCACCTAGCCTTTGCAAAAGTTCACCTGTTCAAAGAAGAAAGCATTTTGGTCGCCTGTCCTGTGGTCAGATGAGATGAAAATGTCCTTGTCTGGAGACAAAGAGGAGGCTATTGCTTCACAAAAGAAAGGAGAAGTATTCAACCCCCCCAAAAAACATCCTCATGGTCAACCATGGCGGTGGCATTATAATACTTTGGGGGTGTTTTGCAGCTAATGTTTGAGACAAATTAAATGGCATTATGAAAAACAAGTATGACATTAAGATTGTGGAGGAAACCCTCAGGCAGTCTGCAGGAAAGCTTGTCCTTTTGGCAGCGTTGGACTTTCCAGCAAGGTAATGATGTTAAACATACAGCTCAATTTGATTAACGGACAACAATAGCAACATTTCAAAGTGATGAGACCGGAATCATCAAGAATCTGTGAAAGCTGTGAGGACCAGAGTGATGGAGAAAAGGCCTTCAACCCCAAAGAGTAACAAAATCCCAGTGGAGACATTCAAAAAGACTGTTAGTGATTATAAAGACTGTCTGATGTGTTGGGGTGACAGATAAAGGATTTGCAATTGAGTACAAAGAAAGAGATATGAATACTTTTGGACATGGCCTCTTAGTTAAAAAAACCAATACAATGCCAATTCCCACCATAAGAAACCTGTAAATCTAAATTTTGGCATGAGGATGAATATTTCTTGGCTCAACTCCATATATAGGATTTATTACCGTATGATCACCCAGGTAGAAAGGCACTCTCTGAAATATATGTATGTATTTATTTTATTTGATTTCATTTTATTCGGATTCTGCCAGCTTGTGATTAATTTGTTCCATTTCCTGCAGGTGACAGAGGTGAGATTGACGGCGGAGACAAGACGGAGCCCCAGAGGCTGACTGATTCAGTCGTACCTCCCGAGGATGCCAACGAGATCTCTGGAGGTAGGACAGACGCACACAAACAGCGTTTCCAGGAGAGGAGGACGCGCACAAATCTCGCGCTCACACGAACGTATAAATAAAACGAGTAGTGCTGATGAATAGGACTCTGCTTAAGGAGTCCTCCAGCCCGTTGCCATAGTGATGTTTGGAGGTAGGCAAAAACAGCCGTCGGTGCTGCCTTCAACACCCGCTCCATAGATCAGAGAGCCAAAAAAATACGAACCGGTCGTCTGTCCGTTTCCACTTGGATCCGACTGTGCAAGTGTTTCCCCCCATGCAGGGTTCTGTGTGCAACCGGTTACAGTAACCGCCTCTTTAAGCAACGCTCAGGCGTGCATCAGCCCGGTGGTCTACTTAACCAACAAGTGAGAGCAGAGATGCCAAAACCATCTCACTGGCGAATCACTCACAGTTGTGATTTGTGGAAACTTTCGAGCCTGTAGCTCCTGATATTAGGCGACTGACCCGCACTGTTCGCTTGTGTCTGTGCGGTTGCCTCTTAATTCGAGCTCCCTCCTCCCGTGCAGGACGTCTGGCTTTCTCTGTGTTTGTTATTGAAACCAAGATGTTCTTTCAGTTGGCAGCGTTAACGTCCTCATATTTGAATGCCTAATATTTCAGCCCTCCTTTCTGTGCAACGCGAGAGAAGAGAGGAATGCATTCGTTTTCTTTATTGGGAGTGTACGCGCAAAGCAACTGTCCTCTTTCTGCTGATTTCTCTCCCATAAAAGAGAGTTCAGTGGGGAATCTTTGGCTATAGAATAATTGATTGTGGTAATTTGGTTTTCTCTCTCTGTGTATGTGTGTGTGTGTGTGTGTGAGAGAGAGATGAAGCTGGTAATGTGCAGACTCATACGTGAATTGTGGCATAATTTGAGACGCTGGAACTGCTGCCGATGTGTGAATGTGATTATTTTTACAAGATTTAAACGTCACTTTCTGTGACATTTTTACCGCAGCTTTTCTAGCCTAAAGTGAACACAAAGACAGAATCTCATTACTCGCTGGAAGGATGCTTATTATTTAAGTACACTTGCTTTCGGCTGCCTTATTATTTGGCTTTGCGTGGGCGATCATTTATCACGGCGTACTAAAGGAATGCGGCGGTTCAGAAATATTCACAAAGTTGCGATTATATAATATAGTTTAGAGGTCCAGCCTCCATTTAACTGCACACCGTGTGTCATCATTTTTATGGACTGTAACCCTTATATATTATTTGCACAGTATAATTTTACTCTGTAATGCTATATGTGCGCTTCATAGTTGCTGATGGAGCAGGAGAGCGACGTACACACTCAGAGAGAGGATCACCAGGCAGTTCATATCCATGAATACATCAGAAATTGGCTCTTCAGTGGAAAACACATTGATAGTAAATCTTAGGTTTCACATTGACTGCAGCCCTTATTGCAGATTATTAACCTGCATACCAAGCAATGGAAAAGGATTGGTTTCTAGGACTGCACGATATCGGAATGAGAAAAAGTACTGGAATTTAGCACAGAAAATAAAAATAAACTTTTTAAAAAGTAGAAAAGGTGCTTTTTACTGTGAAAACTTTTTTTTTTTTTTTTTTTGAGCATGTTGGAACCTTTCTCATTTGGTGTAACGCTGGCAAAGTCATCCAGAGTAGCTCCTTTCTCTGTGCAGCATTTAGATCTGACTTTGCACTCATCATACAGACCTTTGTGCTGCTGATTTAAGACATCAAACGAGGTGGTGAAGCTAATTTGTGTCGTATGCAACTATTGCAAGACACAGAGAAGTGTCTGTCTTTGGTCAACATCATCCTTTCTGTTGTCAACATAGCTCCATGCCACTGATTAAGTCTGCACGATTGTGACCACAAAAATCACAATTACTTTGCTAAACATTGAGGATATCATTGCACTTTCACATCTGAATAAACAGAACGCTGCTTTCACTTCCATGTTGTGCTACATTCCTGCTAACGTCCAAATCTTTGAATCAAAATAAAACAAAGGTCTTCACTGTGATTCAGAGCATCTTTGCTCAATATCTGCTCACTGAGGACGCTTCAGTTTAGTTATGTTCCCTAAGCACCTGACATGCAGGCTACTGTAGATGCCAGCTTGTGCACAGAGAAGACTCTAGTCTCCGCTCAGTTAAAAAGAGAGAATGAGTTGATACCACAAGATTTTTTTAGATTGTTTTCTATGAGCATTTCAAACATCAACATCACAGTCGATCAAATGATTGATGGCGATGAATATTTAATAATCGTGAAGCACAACAACAGCTGACGAGGACTTTCTTTTTCCAACCAAAGCTTAATTTTTGGTGTTTCTCTCCAATTCCTCGCTCAATTTACTGATCACATGTGGAACCTGCAAGTCAGCGAACCACAAAAATAAAGACGAACAAACCCAAAACTGTGTAACCAAGCAGCTTTGAATCAGAGTAAACCAGACTTTTCTTATAGATGAGTCAAATGAGACTCACGTGAGTTTTCTTTTTTATTCAGCAGCAAAAAAGGTTTTGCTGATTTGCCACAAATCACATTGCAATGCCTGCGGTTCTGCATGTAAACATGGCAACGTTGATGCTGCAACAATCCTGTACATTGGATTTACAGTGAGTCATGTGTCATGCCAGTATACTGTGTTTCTTTAGAAGAATATAAATTTAGCTCTTTCATGTCTTCAGTTTCTGGAAAAATAAATCCAATAAGCTCCAATGATTACAAAAGTTTTTTATTTTTGTGTGAGCTTGCTTTGTAAACCTGCCCGCAGTGCAAAATTACAAAATTAAACTCACACTTTCAGTGAACACAGAATCAAAGTGTATTTTTAGGAATAGAAACCAATGAAAAATCATTGCACTACATTTCTGTCTCCCTCTGACACACACAGAGGTTTATATCTTTGATGCTCTGTTCGTCTTTGTTTCTCTCGCCGTCCTCCTCCTCTCCTTCCTGTCAGTAGGCAGATTATAAAGCTGGATTTCCTTCAGTCTGCTGTTATCAGAGCCACTCACCATTCGCTGCAGCGGAGGTGACCTTGATTGGGTGTTCTGCCTCCTACCTGTTGGGGATTATAATAATATCCTGCTGCGCTCCTGTCGAATTTGTGAATGTACTCTGTGTGTGCGTCTGTGTGTGCAGCTTTGTGTACCGGAGTGATGACGATAATGTGCCACCGTGGATCAATAGAGGACGCTTTTTTATGCCGCTCTGTAACGTGTGACTGCTTCTTTCTTCCCCTTTCTATCACATTGTGTGTGCGTATTTATGTTCTACAGCGATAATACCAACGTCCCGCCGAGCTCCAAAGAGATGGCGTTGCATGATGCATTACAAAGTCTTCCTGCGTGTCCCTTGTGTGTGTGTGTGTGTGTGTGTGTGTGTGTCGTAGCCATGCCAGCTTGGGCCATCAGCACTTTGTTGCAGAGTTGTAATCAGCTTGCTTTCATGTCAGGCTGGTTTACAGAACCTTTCATTAACAGCTAGCTCACGCTCACGTCTCGTGTGTGTTCTGTTCCAGACATCAGACAAGTCACTCATCTTTTTTGCAGTATAGACAATAGCGAGTGTAATGATAGACAAAATGTAGATTTTGGTATGTGTTTTGGTTTTGGAGTCATGGTTCGATGTGGGGCTGCACGATGGTGCAGTTGGTAGCACTGTTGCCTCGCAGCAAGAAGGTCGCCGGTTCGCGTCCCGGTGGGGGCACCGGAATCTTTCTGCGTGGAGTCTCCATGTTCTCCCCGTGCAGCGTGGGTTCTCTCCGGGTTCTCTGGCTTCCTCCCACACAGTCCAGAAACATGGTGAGGTTAATTGGTGATTCTAAATTGTCCGTAGGTGTGAATGTGAGTGTGCTTGGTTGTCTGTCTCTAAGTGTAGCCCTGTGATAGACTGGTGACCTGTCCAGGTGTCTCCTGCCTTCGCCCTAAGTCAGCTGGGATAGACTCCAGCCCCCCACAACCCTCGTGAGGATTAAGCGGTGTATAGATAATGGATGGATGGGTTCGATGTGTTTTTGGCACAGCAGAGAAAATGCATAACTTTTAAAAAAATTATTGTGTCTTGAAAAAAATTAAATTGGCCATAATTCTTATTGCAACAGTTAAATCACTCAAATGCTGTCAATAAGAAAAGATCAAGTAAAATATAAAATTAATACAACTTAATTTCAGAGTATGTAATTTCTACCACTAGGGGTCTCTCAGTTAAAAGGATAACCAAACACAAAGTCCAATAACATTAGTCCAGTCATTGTTAAACACCTTAATATGGAAATGCTATATTATACCTTTCAATTAACCACTGAGGCTAGCAGTGCAACTTCAGCTGATCAAACTGCACAAAGTCATGTCGCCTTTCTCTTTTTCTGTCAACACTGAACACACAGCCATCTTGTTTGAAAAAACTTTATCGAATTCTCACCAGACAGACGTGAGCACAGGCCTGGTTTTTAACGTCTAGTGCGGGTTTAATTCTTGCAGTTCAGAAAGGCCAGTTAATGCTTGAGCTCAATGTGCAGTTAGTGTGAGTTCACACATTGTATATGTTAAATAAAAGTGGCACAGTGTCTGCCCAGCTTTCAAGAGCAACGCCGGCATCATGTGTAGCTGATGCTGATACCTGACGCTGTGGCTGCACTGACCGTATGTGGACCGCTCCTGGAGTAGATGTGCCACAGAATTAATCTTGTTCAGGCTTCACCTGCAGTGTACAGACCATGTAGCTTTGTAGCAAAATGAGAAAGCTTTCATTTTTGTGCTGACGCCTTCATTTCTTCGGTGAGTTTGTGTAACGGGGATAAACTAACATCTACAGATGACAGTAGGCAAATAAATGCCAACAGGCAGTTTAATTTTAAAAACTTTATGACCTCTTTTTGTGGAGAAGGACCATGCACATCTTGCATAAAAAAAATCTAAATAGAAAACTGGTCTATTTTTATATTTGCAGCGTGTAAGTGGTGCATATTAACAGGCCCGGTGCAGTCATTGATTACAGCTGAAGCACAGTGATG